TGGCTCGAATTTGACAAGGATGTGCTAATCCATGTAAAAGCGTTGATAAAACTTATTGTAATTAGTGACAAAATGAATCTATCTTGTGTACGAATTTTTACTCAAGATAAAAGTTTTAAATCCATAGAGTTCATCTCACATATTAGGAGCTCTCCTATATATCTATGACCTCTAACTTCGGAGAGATCATCCACATTTCATGAAAAGATTATCAAGATCATTTTTAAAGAAAGTGTAGTAGCAATTATATGTCAATAAAATGTCTCCCTGTAAGGAATCGTTAGAACGTAACCATCATATCATCATATGTTGTTTCATGAAATTATCACCATATATATAATTTCTTTTTATTTGGGTAAGGGCACAAATTTTATAACAAAGTTCTAATTCTAAATTTGCCCCTGAGGCCCTCGAAGTCCTCCGCGCGCTGCATACACATAACACATGGATTCGTACCACTTTCACTTCAATAATACCCCGTATTAGTAACTTAACAAAAGTATAGTAAATTAATGGTTGATTAGTTTTCGTGTTCAGATAATGTCTGTATATACTACTACCTCCGTCCCGTTGGAAGGTTCCCATATCAAAATGACATGGTTATTTATGTGATAATTAAATAAAGTACTTCGAGTATATTTTGAAAAATAATTTTAATAGGTATATACTATAATGTGTTAATATTAATAACTGTGATGTTATAAATATATTATTTTTAATATTTAATGACTAATTTGTCAATTAAGATTGGTAATTGTTTCTAAAATGCAAATGAGAATCTTTTAATGGGACGTCGTCCAAAAAAGGAAAGTGAGAACCGAGACGGAGGGAGTAGTATATTATTAACGTCTTAACGTCTCAATGGGGAACAAATAATTGTTTGTTTGATACCTTCAAATTTTCGTTTATCTCGATTGATAGTAATTAGTAAATTACTACGTAGATCTTTTTTTTTTATCATTACTACGTAGATCTTTAAATATCATTTATGCTTTCAGTTAATTTACTTCATTTTAGTCGACAATTTTAAGTGCCCAAAATTGGTCATGCATGTCGTCACAAAATGATTGAAAGAAAAAAGAGGAAAAATACTTTACCGAAAGGCAGAGTGACGGACACGGGACCAGTGCCGGTCCTACCTGAACTCAGGCCTGAGTCGACTTTGATAAAATGGGCCTCATACATAGTGTTTGTTTATCATATAAATTCACTAAAATTAATGATTAAATATCACAAAAATGCAATCTTTCAACAAAAGTATTCCATTATCACAAAACGACATTGAATGTATTAAAAAAATTACTTAAGTAAAACCCGTCGAACAATTTTAGATACATAATTTAGTGGAATCCTCAACAATATATATTATTAATTTTCTCTACAAATCAGCCCTCGAACTAACTAAAAAATTAAAGTGCAAAACATCCCTTATACAAGAGGTTCTGTTCGACCGTCACCATTCGGGGTGGTTCCTAGTGTAATTTTTTGATGAAATTTTTTGATCATCTTCTTCATTAAGTCCAGTTTATCTATACTGAAGTTCAGCTAAAAATTCAACCAATAAGGCAGTCAAATGATTTTCTGAAATATACTGCGTTGTTTAACTGCGCAATTATCTTCAAAAATTGATTTGACTGTCTCCTCGATTCCGTTTTTTACTGAAATTTGGTATGAGTAAGTTAGACTTAATGAAAAAGATGCTAAAAAATTTCATCAAAAAACTCCACTGGGAACCACCCCAGATGGCGACGGACTTGGAAAATACATATGTATAATAATAGTAATGCTTAAAAATTGTGAGCCCCTAATTTTTATAATTTTTGGGGGCCCTGAGGCTTGGGCCTCTCCAGCCTAACATAAGGCACAGGCCTGCACGGGACACACTAGAAGTCTAGTAGCTCGACGATTATAAATAATCTTCATAGTACGTAGTAGTACTACTCCGTCACTTAAAACTTTGCCACAATTGACCGACACGAAGAATAATAAAGTAAAATTGTGTGGTTGAAGTTTGTGTAGAGAGGAAAGAAATAATAGAAACCACAAAATAATTGATTAAAAGAGAAAGTGACAAATTTTTTTTAAAACATCCCAAAAAAAGATGACAATGTTTTAAGGGAAATTATTGTCCAAATACACATCATATCATCAAAGCATATACTTGTATACTAGGATAGGGAGCTATAGCTACGATATATTGTTGACAATTAAATACACGTTTTTATGATTTATAGATCGTGAAATTCACATTTTTTACATTCTAGTTCTTCCGACCACAACCGTCACTGTTTGGGTGCCATTTTTTGACTCGGACCGGACGGTCTAGTCTCCAAATGTTCACTTTTTCTGGAAAATTTGAAAAACGCCCAAAATTGTGATTGTGATTGTGATATATACCGGACCGTTCGCGAGTACTCGCGACTCCTGGGTCTTCCATTTTTTGGCAAAGACCAGCATACTGGGTCTTGAATCGGGACCAGAACGGAATGGGTCCATGCCTATCACTACCTTTGATTGTATGCAAAATTTGGAATCAGGACCGACACAACTGAACCGGCCGGTCAAAGCACAATACAAACATTTGTTTTTCTATATACGTTTTCAATTCTAATATTCATTTTTCTTACCAACCAGGGAGGTTGGAGAACTATCAAATAAGTCCCCGAACTTACATAAAACGTGCAAATTACCCTTTATATATATGAGGCTTTGTCCGACCGTCGCCATTTGAGGGAGGTTCCCGGTTGATTTTTTTATGAAATTGGTGGCAGGCCCAATGTAATTTACTCACATCAAATTTCAGCTAAAAATTCAATCGGTAAGGCAGTGAATTTTTGAAGATAACTGCACAGTTAAACAACACAGTATATTTCAGAAAATCATTTGATTGTCTTCCCAGTTTAATTTTTTCTGAACTTTGGTATGAGTAAACTAGACTTAATGAATAAGATTTCAAAAAAAAAAAATCACCAAAAAAATCCATCAGGAACCACCCCAAAAGGCGACGGCCGGACAGAACCTCCTATATAATGGATGATTTGCTCTTTTTATGTAAGTTCGATGGCTTATTTGATAGTTTTCCCTACTAACTATCACATATGATTTATTATGTTATTGCGTATGTAATTATCTATTTTCTTATGTAGAAGGTTTGGTTTGTCCATTTTCTAATTATATTTTTGTCAATATATTGTATTGTATTTGTATATGCATTTAATTTCATTATTTTTATATTTAAATTATTTTAAAGGCATTAGATATAATGAGAGATTTATTTACAATGTTCTATAAGAGGTTCTTTCAAAAAAAATTATTACATAAATTATTTGTCCTTTTGGTTATAATTATAGCTGTTAGTTTCACCATAAATATAATTCTTATCCTTAATATGACATTTTTGCATAATTTTAATATACTAATTTTTTTAATTAGAAAAGTATAATTTACGATTTTTAAATAGGTATATGAAAATGTGTATAATTTTTAAAGTAGACAAAAATATGTTCTTCACTAGCTAGGATTGCCGCTCGGGCTTCCTAGAGTAGCGTTTTGATTTTCCGTTTTCGTCCAAGGATGAAGAACAGTGTGAGGCAAAGCCGCGGTCTTGACAATATCTTTGGCGTCGAGTACGAAGGCTGGAGCGGGGGTAGGCTGAAGACGGTCGACAATAACGAAGGGGTTGGCAGAGTATATCGGTGCTCCTTGTTAACATCGGTTGAAGGCGGAGTCCATTAACGCCAAGGGATGGTGTGGGTTGGGTTGAGTTTCTGTGCAGTGGGGCTGATTCAGAGGACCCCTATGAGTGATTGTCCTCGATCTTCCTTTGCGGCTGTGGATTGCATCGTTGATATCGAAGACTATAACCATGTTTGTGTTCGGGCCGGCGGTGTTGATTGCGTTGATGGATGTTGTAACACCGGATCCGAATTTTACCCAGATAAAATTTTTTCGTAAAGTACTTGGTTAAAGAAGGTAAATCAAGACTAAGAGTAGTCTCGATAAATGAGAAAGTAAAATTTTGTCCTAAATTAATAAAGGGTTATTAATTTAGACGTGGGACCACACGTGGTATTTAAGTTTATAAAATATTACTATTTTCCAAAACGATACTATTATGATAGTAGGAATGGGTCATGGACCCCATTGTTATAAAGAGCGACAACTGGACGGCCGAGCGGGCCAGGGCCACTATTCGATAATGGGGAGTCCTTAATTATCGGACTGTCAATAATTCGTAGGACTACGAATTTATAACAGAAGAAATATAAACATTTTAAGAAACCAAAATAATGGGATGAATAATATTGATTAACTTGGTATATTAAAGGAGGGTACTTTTGGAGGACTCTACCTTAAAGATATTTTATTTTGGGAACAAACAGATAAGATTTTATCTGTTTTTACATTTGGGATCACTTAAAAAGGATGTGTAACATTTTATTAAAATGTCACAAAATATCAATACACATATTGAGTCATGAGAAATTGCTAATGAATTTACGAGATGACGTGTTCTCATTTTTACTGTTACTTGAACAGTAAATTGCACGTTGGGCCTACACTAAGAGCGGGGACCATCTGATATTTCCGGAACCACATATTATATTCATCTTGGTCTAGATAATATTTATATGAGGGTGTAAATAAATGTTGAGCCATAAAGTTGGCCTTTCGATCAAACGAGGTCCCATTACCGGTATAGGTAATTAAACAGGTAACAGCCCGAAATTAATTTCGGCGACCACGAAATTAAAGTGGGATATTATATATTCATTTTAAAGGCCAATATTAATTGGAAGAATGATATATATTTTATTTGACCCGATAAAATGAAATTTAATTAAAACAGTCCAGAAAATACAACTTTCGGGGCCGAATGTGCATTCGGGGACATAAAGGGATGACCTCCCACATGAGTGGGGGCCACCCCACGTTTTTGTGCATCTAAATGAGCCGTAGAACCTGCATAGCATGGGAGAGAGGATGCATTTGGCCTCAAATTGATAGGTTGGGTGAGAGAGTGACATTTGGTGGACCTCCCCTCACATTGATTGGCAAAGGAGACAAAGGAAGTCTCCTCACCCCTCTCTACCCCATTATTTCGACCACCACATTCAAGGAAGAGAGGAAAACCTCTGCAAAATCATCATCCTCCATTGTTGAAGCAAGCAAACCAAGGAAGCTCCAAGGAAGAAGAAAAGCTTGGAAAAGAAGAGAAAAACTTAGTAAAATCAAGGTAATGACTTCAATAGTATTTTTCTTCCTTCATTCAATCTCATATGATTTTATAAATCATATAATACACTTCTTGAAGTGTTGAATGAGGGTTTGTAAGGTTAAGTTTAACCATGAACGGAGTTATGGCCGGAGTAAGACCGGTTCACCGGAAAACACCTTCTCGGAAGGTTTTGACATTTATACCACTTTTGGTTGTGAAAACTTGTTAGGAATTTTACCAAGGTATTCTAGACTTCTCAAGGAATCTAGGAGTGGCCGCAAAAGTCGCCGGAGCCGCCGGAGTTTTCGCCGGAAAATCCAAAAGTCGCCGGAGTTCGAACAAAGAAGATAAAAGCTTGCTAGCGTCATTTCAAGGTGAGTGGACGACTACGTGTCTTGTAACTCTTGGTTCAAACGTGGGATTACCTAAACAAAATCATAATCATGATTTGAGAAATGATTAAATGTATTAAAATGCATGATTAGTCATGGTGAACATGATTAATGAAAAATAGATTAATCTATTAATTAATCATGAGTATATTTTTCTTAAATGAATAAGAAGGTATACTTGGACTATGTATGAGACTAACTAGAGTAATCTAGTGAATGAATACATGAAAATATATGTGAACTTGTGATTATCCATATTAAATATGGATTATGGAAGTATTATATGATTAATGAAAATTAGATTGATTTATTAATTAATCATGAGTATATATTTCTTAAATGTATAAGAAGATATACTTGGACTATGCATGTGACTAACTAGAGTAATCTAGTAAATGTAATATATAAAAAGATACGTAGTATGTGACATTGTGATTAGCCAAATTAATTATGGTTTATGGAAATATGACATAATTAATGATTAATTAATTAATGATATGAATAAAAGGTTTAAGAGAGGATCATGAGTCATGCTAAGGGATTAAGCATGAGATCAATCAAAAGAGGCAGAATGATATTACATTGAATGATCAAATGCATCTAAGAATGTATTGTGACAAGATTACTTATTAATAGTATTAATAAGTATACTTAATATGCTTTAATTTGGACAGAAAATGATTATAAATTACGTGTGATGATTTGGACGTCTAAAATGATATTTTTGGACTAAGAATGACTTGTTGCATAAGTGTATAAAATTTCGTGAAAATCGGACCCCGTTTGGATGGTCAAACGGGCGTTGACCAAAATGTTGACCGGTTGCCCAAGGGATAACCGGCGCCGGTTATAGGCAAAACCGGCGCCGGTTATGGTTCGGTTTACTACAAAAAATCAGTAAACCGGCGCCGGTTTATGGGTAAAACCGGCGCCGGTTATGTCTCGGCTTTCAGGACTGATTTTTGCTAAAACCCAAATCGGACCCGGTTCGACGTGGGATTAATTCTGGCCAACCTATATATGAATATTTTGCATGGAATTGCATGAAATATGATGTTTAAGATGATAAGGCTTGGAATACGGTTTAAACGCTAAGACTTGGACTAGTCGTTAGTAAAGAAATTATAGACCACGACCGGGCGAGGTTCGTGGTAGATTATACATGGCGGGTGAATACCCGGGACTAAGTAAGGTTATATAATACTCTGTAGGACCAGGAGGAGTCCTCTACACTCAAACGTTAACAAGGGCCCGTGTAGTCCTTGAGGTGTGTTAACCTCCAACAAATTACACATAGGATGAGGGTGTATGCGTACTCCTCAAGGCAGGGTTAGCCCCAGGAATGTAAACTATGATCGTAAGGACGGATAGTCCTCGAGGTAGGTGAACCTCAAGGTAATGATTTTAAATGATTAAACGTGCTTGATCGGGAACGAGTTTCCGATAGGATATTTCCTTGGTCTAGGAATTGATTTAAACCATGTCTGTGATATGGGAGTCCGAAGGGCCCCCACAGCAATTATATTTTGATATCGGGTGAGTCAGCCTGCGGGTGACTCCACTCGAGGGTAAGACATGGGAAAGGTGAATTTAATGAGGCTGTTACGCCTAAATGATTTGAAAGACAAATGGGCCCACGGGCCAGATATTTTACTCATATGTATATATGTATACATTTTGTTTTGAAAAGGGTAGCTAAGAGTTATGCCCATAATTATACTATCACTCTATTTTGAGGGTCTCACGTGAGAAACGTTAGTTACATTACATACAGTTTGCCCTCACCAGTACTTTTCTGTAGTACTGATCCCTCGGGGGAACCACCCTTTCAGGTTGAAGCTAGAGCTTACTTCCTGCACCCGTTGCTCGGGAGATCGATGGAGAGAAGACGTGGTTCGTGCTTCCTCTCGTTCTATTTTTAAATAGTTAAAAAATGCTCATGGAACTATTTTGACTTATAAATTAATGGAGCCTGCGAGCTCTTGTTTTATCCTTGTGTGGGTTCTTATTAAACACTTATATTCCGCTATGTGTTTGATTGTATGTTGATGTTGTTATGTATGTTTACTAATCGGTTTTGGCATATGTATCTATCGGACGTCTTGTGCAATTCGGTAAGGATGAACTGCGGTTATTCTTATTGGGTTGTACGACGGTTGTCCACGTGGAACAGACGCGGTCTGGGGCGTGACAGATGTGGTGGCTATGAGGATGGACGAGAGATGGATGGTTGAGAACGCCCTATGTTTTGATGGTTTTCGAATAGGAATGAACGACGTTTGAGGAGGCTCAATCGAGGTGTTGTGGGTGCTCTGTTTTGCATTTTAGGAATAAAACTTTAGAGTGCAAATGTTTGTGTTGTTGGAGTATGTTAGTAGCTCCATTGGTGTAGTATTTGCAGGGTGGATAAAAGATCTAATGGCAATTGTGGTAGTGACTCGGCAGAAGAGAATTCAAGGGGCAATGTTGAAGATGAAGGAAAAAGATGAAGTGCTAACGGTCCGTCCCCCTCCGGAACCACCGTCAAGAAGAGGGTTCCTACTGAAGAAGACAATCTTTGCGTTATATTTTATTGCTGTTTTGCATTTTAATTTCCACGTGGTGGTGATTGTTGTTTTTTTATTTTATTTTATTTACTGCTGTAAGACTTATGCACTTGGATTGGGGGATGAGAGGTCTGTGGTAACCGTCGCTGGTTTGATTATGCCCAAGTTAGGATCAACGAGTTATATTGCTTTGTCAAAGGTGATTAGATTTGAGTCTGGTCCAATGACGGATGGTTACATGTTATTCTTTTGTTATTTCAAAATTCAAACCCTATCTGATTGCTATTTTATAAAAAAAGGTATATGAAAATTTTGCGCCTCTAGGCTTTGAAAAAAATAACATCACCCTTGTTTTTCATCGAATAGTTTCGAGCACCGAATTTCTTGAATTTACTCAAAAGACTTTTTGAAACTATTCACATATCATTTTTCTTTATTTAATGAATAAAATTATTCGAAAACCAATTTTTTAATATTTCAGAAAATTAAGTTAATTTAGTCTCTTCTATAAGAATTGCACCAATATCAATCGATTCACTATTTTAGAGTCATTTGGTAACCCTGTAATTTCACCATATCGGCCTTATCAGCAACTCTTTTATCAAATATATAATAAAAAAATAAGTAAGGTTAGAGTTATATATCTGAATGAAATGACTGAAGTTATGTATATGATCATTTTAGCTATTTTCATTAATTTCTCTCTCTATTTGATTAATAAAATTTAATTCAAAGAGTAAATTTCTCACAATTTAGCAAATTCAGCAATACATCTACTTTACCCGTAATTTCATCAATTTCGGTAGATTAAATCCATTTAACATTATCAAATGCGTTCATAAAGTCATTCTGTGTTAGTCTTGTAATTTGTTATTGTTTGTTTGGGTTCAATTTGATCTTAATTAAAAGGCGGATTCCATATTATTCAAAATTAAAGTGTTCACTTGAACACCTAAAAAATGAAAAGATGCATTATCAAAATCCAGTTTAGCAAAATGGAGAAGCCAGCTTCTTCTCCATCAACATTTTGAAAATTTTGGCGATTTCTCTAAGAGCTTTTTTTATTTGACCATGATAAATGTGTGGTGTTATTGAAAAGAATAAGGCGAAATTCACAACAATAATCCCTACTTTCATGGGTTCTACGATAATAATCCGTACTTAGAGTATCCATAAAAATAATCCGTACTAGCAATAATGTCCATAAGAATAAATTAGAATGACTTCAAATTAATGTCCATTTGATACTCCCAAACCCTACCTCCACTTTTCTGTTCACTACTTTCCGTTTCGATTCACACTTTGATGTTTCAACCTAGATAGAATCACATATGGCGGAAATGATGTTGATATTAAACAAGTTTTAGTTTGAATTTGTCCCGAAAAGAAGAGTCGGGGGAAGAAAAGTGGGAATGAGGGTTGTGAGTATTAAAATGACATTAATTTGAATTCACCCCAATTTATTCTTATGAACACATTTGCTAGTTTGGATTAATTTTGTGGACAATGTGAGTAGGGATTATTATTGTAGAATCCCTAAAAGTAGGGATTATTCTTATGAATTTCACCAAAGAACAATGCTTTGGTTTTGAACACGGGAGTGAACCATATATGTGAGACATCGTAAAAATGATTCATCTAGTCTCGCGTTCTCTATATAATTTACAACTGATAAGATTTGATCTAGTCTGATATGATTTGGTCTAAGTTAGGACTACACACATCTCAATCTCTTACTAATCGCTTCACAACTTTACATCACTATCAAATAGGGAATCACTAACCAACGTTTAGGAAATGAACCAACCGATTTTTATACTCAAATCGAGCTAATAATACGTTCTACAACCCGAATGCGGCCTTGAGTAATTTAACCATCGTTTTCTTTCATGCAAGTATGTAACCACTAACCAACTCATACCGGAACTATATAGTAGCAAAATAAGCAGAATATTACTCCCTACATATCTTGTCACACTTTCATTTTTTTGGTGTATCAAATTTGTTGTTTCTTTTCCTTCTTTAGAAAGAATTGCACTAAAAAAACAGCCACATTATCACTATAGTACCGCTACAGATATTGAGAGAGTACGATTTTTTATTTAACTATTTGCTCAATGAATGTGATCAACCGTTTTTCTCTTGAAAAATCAAACATATTTGAGCATATGAATAAATAAAAACGAGTGTGGTAAATAATCTTCCGTAAATTTGAAATTAAGTATCACTGTTTGGATATGATTAAAAAAAATGTCATTTTAACATGTTAGCCTCAAAAGCAACCCAATGCATGACGAATTTAATGTCAATTCATTTATGAATTCAAACTTACTAATATTCAAAGGACTGAATTTATGAATATTCAGAGACCCCATAAAAATAGCTCTCAAGTAGTCGGCACAATATTGATCGAACCTTATCCATTGTCACACCAATAATAAACCTTCTAAAGATGCACTTGGTGAGAACAAGTTAATGAATGGATGTTTTATGAACTTTGCTGGTGTGGTCTGGTCTGGTTGGTCTGAACTGGTCTAGTCTGGTCTGGTAAACGTCTGGTCTTTGTGAGATCTGGTCTGGTCTAGTCTGATGGTCTGTGACTTAAAACAGTCCAAAAGAGAACCTCTAGAGTGGAAGTGTCAAAATGAAGTGCTTCGTTTGGTTAATATCATTTTCGCTTGAAGCACTTATAAAAAACTATTGGTCGAAACACAATTAAACAAACGAAAGAATTATATCTTTATATGGTCAAAACGAAAGATAAGAATAGTTCCCCAAAAATATTGTGCTAGTAATCGACTACTCCATATAGTGGCGTAATAAGAAACACGTGTTATATGTTTAAAACTTAAGCATACATAGTATTAAAATGGCGGATCATTTTGAGATAATATTTGTTTGTTTTGAGATAGTATTTGAGATAACATGCAATTCAAATGTTGATAGAATGAAGGTTAATTCAAACGAGTTCTGGAGAGTTAAATTTAATTTGATATTGGAGTAATATATATGTAATACAAAGTGTATTAAAAACTTCACATAGTTAATGAGTGAGTACTAAATAATACGTTATTTGGATCGAATAACTAATTATACGAAATACGTAGTATAACATATTAAATTTTACGCACTACAAGTTTAGATAATGTTGGTTGTTTTTCAGGAAATAATAATTTTTGACTCATAATGAGTTATAGAAACGATATTTGTATATGCTTGAACTTTCAAGGTGTCAGCTTATCACCCTCCCCTATCTTTATTCCATTTTACTCTTTTTATTTGTCACCATAAATTTAGCTCATACCATGTTAGGTTAAACGAGTACTACGTATTTCAGAAGATAGAATTGATTATTAGGGAGAAAGAGATGATATAAAATCAGCATGCTAGTGTGTCACCTATGACCTACCTATCCATCCTCGACTATAACAAAATTAAATGTTTTTTGTTGGGTTCCGAATGGGAGTTTGAAATTTCAGTCGATATATAGAAGCATGGAACCATAGACGTGCTGAGAAGACAAATGCCTTTCGAAGTAACATGGCACTTGATTAAGAGACCGTTTGGAACCACTGTTTTTCGGCTTATCAGACTTATCCGTCAACTTTTTCATCAAACACGGAAATTTTGCTTTCGCGCGCTGAATTTTGTAATAAGCAGAAAAAGTAAGGTTGAAGTTACCTTTGTGGCTGTTTTGGCTGAAGTTACTGTAGATGTCCATTTTAGCTATTTTTACATATAATTTTTTCTTAAATCAGCAGAATCAGCCAATGCAGCCAATTCAACCAGAACTTCATAAAATTCAGCAGAATCAACCAAATCACCCGATTTTCGTGCTACCAAACGGGCTCTAAATAAGTATATTAAAGAATGTGCTGGGTGTCGTTTAGTTCAACTTATTCTTATTGTTTATTACTCCGTACTTGTTAATTCACGCCTAATATATTTTAGATCCATTCAATTAAGTGTTATATTTCAAACTTAAATGTTACACAAGATAACATTTTTTAGATCCGATCGACTCAAAGTCATCATATCACATCTTTTAGGGGGAAGAAAGGGACAGTACAAGTCCTTATACAAGACAAATAAAGTAATTGACTTGCAAAGTCAAGAATCTTTATATTATTATAAAATATAAACTAGTTTAGTGTACGTATTAAGTTTGTGTTTGATCTAGAATTAACTCCACTTTTATTCATATGAATATCAAATCAATTCCACATTTGATCCATGCTTTTGATTTAAACGCTTTTTCGTTCATGACTATTGTTGTTAGTCCATTTGCAATCTTTCACCTTGCACCTCTACCGTGATTTTAAGCACCACAATTATCGATGGAAAGACAAAATGTTGGCGTTAAATGGCAATCATGTACTGAAAACTATTAAAGTCAAAGACGCGAACTGAATTTGGGAATTGGGATTGATGCAACAACTTGTCTTGTGGTACATGAGATGTACACAAGATGTACATCATATAAAAGGGTAAATAATTACCATAGATTTTACCCCATAAAAAAAAAGCCACTTTCCTCTCCCTCTTTCTTTCCCACGCACTCCCCCTTCCCGTTACATATGTGCGCACACCCATTTCACTGTAGCGTCTTCTTCCTCATGACCTCTTCTTCTTCACAGCTCGGCGGTTGAGTAGGAGTCTGGTGTGAAGGTAATAAGCAAATGGATTATAGTGTTGAGCAGATGGCCTTCATCAGTAGCTACGACATGGGCGAGTTGATGGCACCCCAAAATATGGATTCCTGCTCTGAACCACCGGCGACCGGAGATGAAGCTCAACCCAGTAGGAAAGGCGTCGGCGACGGAGAGGAAAAACATATTCCGGACGCTGATCATGAAGGAGGTACGTGGAACGTAATGTCTGTGTACACAGACATTTCTATATTTTCACTCTTTTTCTATTGTATGTTCTTATAACTTTGTATTCGTATAGTTTACCATCCAATACTTGTGTTAGTGTAACATTTGTATATTTTTCACCTGCTGTACAAGTAAAAGTATTTTATTTGATGTGTTGTATTATCTATGTAGTAAATATTTGTATTTTTAATGCCTTTATATTAGTCCTTTAATATTGTCTGTGTACAGAGAAGAAGTGAAGTAAATGTCTGTTTTCATATTGCCGTTTTACACCGACGAAGTGATGTAAATGATTGTATTGTTATACAATCTGTACACAGAGACCGATTGACTAATTGGTTTGTATTTTTACTACCTTTCCACACATGTTTATGTATTATGTAAATGTGTTATGTAATTTATTGTGATGCTATTGCTTGTCCACACATGTTTATATTAGTA